GCCTACACAGGTCACCGCCTCGGGAACCATTCAGCTGCATCATCCCAGGCACGCCTTCGAGAGATGCTGCCGCGCTTATCTGCCGGACGTACTTGCGGCCCTACGCTGCCACGTGGATGTGCAGGCATCGGATGGACGAGCTATGGTGCTAAAATACTGCGCCAGTTCCCCGGCAGAGAACCGCTTCGAAACTGTTTTTGTCATGATGTTAACATGCTTCCCTAGACAAATTTAGGTCCACTGTCTTCGTCAATTTCTCAGAGAATCTTTCGTAAACCAGCTAAGATAGTTTAGCAAGGCCTGTGCACATGACTCGCAGGCTATCTTCCGAAGTTCAGCAGCTCCTTTGCGCAGGAGTTGCTGAACGATCAGGCCAGCGATTTCTCATTGGCGCGTCGCATTCTTTCAGACTATCACCCGCTGCAGCCGGAGATGGTCACGCAACTTGCTGCGCAGCAGCACTCGCAGTTCATCTGTCCAGGTATTGTTCGGAAGTTCATCGTTCCAGTGCCATGGGAAAGGGACATGCCAGACATCGTGCAGCGCTACATGACTTGTACGTGGCGAAGAGAGAACATGAGCTTGCTGGAGTTTCTACGCAAATCTGGCTCCAATGGGCAGATCTCGCAGAGATATCGGCGGGAGCATCGCTCTCGAAAGATCCAGATTCCCCTGGAAACTTGGATCAACAGTCAACCTGCAGATGGACAGACATTGGTTGCCGCCATCACCTACAGTAGGGCGAGTGATCGACACTACGGCCAGTGGCTGCTTCTGAACGTGCCGTTTCGCAAGGTGGACGATCTATGGCACCCCGATGCAGAGCGTCTGCCGCACAGTCTGCGACACCTCGGATTGTGCCTGTTACATCGTCCAGCCTTCTGGAGAAATCCTGATCGTCCAGCAGCCGAAATGGAGCAAGAGGCTCGTACGGACCTGCACATCAAAAACTTCCTGAGCATGCTGCAAGGCCGAGTGGAACTGATAGATGCATACATCTCTGGAGACTTGACGCTGGCCGAGAACCCAAGCCCTGCATTGCATGGTTCTGCCTTGACCTCACGTGGAACGATCCAGCTTGCGGCAGAGCAAAAGCTCGTCATGCAAACAATCACGAATCGTGTGGAAGCCGCTCTGCAGGCTAAGTGGCCTGGCGATGCAGACGATGTGGAAGCATGGGGCGTCTGGCTCGACCAAAATCAACATAGACCCTTTCAAAACAAGGTGTCGGTGGTGCTGGGTCCAGCAGGCAGCGGCAAGAGCACGGCGGTGGAGATTGCCCTGGAGCATGCGGTTCGAAACGGTGCGCATGTTGGTGTAGCCTGCCCCACCGGCATGCTCGCCACACAGTACAAAACTCGACACCCGGATCTGGACATCGACACCGTGCACGGCATGTTTGCCCTCCACAAAGACGAGGCCACCACGCTCGAGATGATGAAGATATACGACATGATCGTGATCGACGAGGTGGGGCAGCTCCCGACCAGAATCTTCGACAGGCTTCTACGGCTGTGGGATGCAGCGGACCGTCGGCCCGCTCTCGTCTTCGTGGGCGACTTCTGCCAGCTGACGGGCGTGGATGGCACCACGGCGAGAGACAGTCTCAGGTGGGACCAAATGCACATCATGGCGCTGCATGAGATGCGTCGCTGCAAATGCGAGCGTCTCAAATGGAAGCTGCAGCTGCTGCGAAGTGCCATTCCATCCAAGAAGCAACTCAAGCAAATCCTGAAAAACCATAGAGGGCCGCGAAATCGTCCACGAGGCAGCAACGCACCTACAGCAGCTGACATTGCTGACATCTTGCGTGAGACACCAGAGACGACCTTCCTCACTGTCTCCAGGCGTGGTTCTACCAGGCTAAACCAGCTTGCAGTGCAGTGTCTCTTCGCACAATCGGAGCCGTTGGACCGCATTCCATGCGATCCAGAGGAGAATATGGATAATTTTCACGGACAACAGCAAGCGGCCGTCCGTCCTCACTGGCTTATGATCTACGAGGGCCTGCGGGTGAGAATCACCAGTAACGAGGACAAAGAGAGAGGATTCGTCAACGGCATGGCAGCGACTGTGCAGCGAATGAGGACAAGCGGGG